GAGTGATATCCCAAAATAATTTCAAACTTGAAATATACGAAGAATTCTCTGTAGGTTAGATTTTTTTCTCTCAAATAGGACTATTTTGAAAGGTTACAAAAAAATTTTGTTTTGTTTTTTTGCATTTCTCAACTATTTGAAGATGTATTGTAAAAAAAAATTACATTCGCAATCTGCAGATAATTGTCTATAAGTTAACAATTTTTCCGTTTGAACAGTCACTTTAAAAAAAGTTTTGAAAATGTTTTGGCATTTTTCTGTTATTTAAAAATATATTGCAAAAAAAACTTCAGATTAATAATCTCGGTCATAAATCTATAAGCTAAAAACGTTCTTAAAAAATTTTTGGGGAATTTTTGGAAATTTTTCTCCCGATTTTCTGGCTTAGTTGAAGAGATATCACAAAAATAATCTCAAACTCGAAATATATGAAGAATTTTCAATAGGTTAGATCTTCTTGTCTCAAATTTTGAACGTTTTTTTTTTTAATTTTTTCAAAATTTTGGAAATATTCACTCATTTGAAGATGTTCCATAAAAATATTTTACATTCATAATCTAAGGATAATTGTTAACAATTGTCAACTCTAATCTGAAAACTTTTTGATCACCCGTTAATAAATCCGACTTAAAATTCGACATCAATCCTTCTAAAAATTAGTAGTTGATTTGTTAATTTCGACTTTAATCCATATTTTAAACCTTAATGTTACAATGAGATAAACATACAGTCGTACTTTAAACTTGCAAATGCATTCTAATAGGGTCTATTTGACCAAGGTTTAAATTTACGTTTTGTTCGAGCTTCGTTTAATATTGTTACGTTGAACGGGTGATTAAAATTGGCGTGGGTAAAACTCTGAATTCGATTGAATGAATCCCGTTCCCGTTCTAGACTCTCCTTTAGAAGTTTCGTGATCGAGGTCGTTCTGGAATCCATTGCAACTTCCGATTTCAGACCTTTCTCTAGCGAGCGCCGATGTTACCGATGAGTCATGCTACACACTAGAAGAAACCCATACTTACTAGGAGACCCATAGGCGTAGTACCGGGGCGGCGTATGGGTTTATCCATATTGGAGTCTAGTTTTATAAAAAAAAGTCAAAAAATCTGTATGAGAACTAAATCTGTTAATTTTTTTGTTTGAAGAAAAAAAAAAAAAGAATTTTAGACCTGTAATTATTCTAAAAATGAGTAGTTGGTTTGTTAATTACGACTTTAATCCATATTTTAAACTTTAATGTTACAATGCGATAAACATACAGTGGTACTTTAAACTTGCAAAATGCATTCTAATAGGGTCTATTTGACCAAGAAAAGAATCTTGGGGGTTCCTAACGGATCTTTTTTTTTTGGAAAATTTTATAAGAATGTTGGAACGGTCGACGAATTTTTTTAATTTAAAAGGATTTAGGGTCTCCGAAGTTTTTTATTTAAATAAATTTGGATCCTTGACGGGTTCTTTTGGAAGCATTTGGAAGAATCCAGGGGGCCTCTGACGTTTTCTTTTTTAATTAAAAACAATATTGGGCACTTCAGACGATTTTTTTTAGTAGAGTTTGAACGACGTTTAGGGCCCTTGACGAGAATTTCAAACTCGAAATATACCAAGAATTCTCTATAGGTTATACTTCTTTCCTCTCAAATAGAGCCATTTTGAACGGTTTCAAAAAAGGGTTTTGGGAAATTTTTAGATTTTTTTTGCAGGTCTCAATTTTCTAAAGATGTATCGTAAAAAATATTTTAAATTCCTTCTATGCGACTTATTGGCTATGTGCTAACAATTTATCCGTTTGAACAAAGTCACTTTTATCGTTTTAAAAATAATTTTGAAAATTTTTTGGAAAATATTTTCTCACTTTCCTCGCTTACTTAAAAATATATTACGAAAAGGACTTCAAATTCTTAATCTGTAGTCAATACTTGATAAGCTAAAAATTTGAAGTTAAAAATTTTTCTTTGGAAACGCTTAGAAAATTTGTTTTCGAAGTTCTCCTTAATTGAGTGATATCGCAAAATAATTTCAAACTTGAAATATACGAAGAATTCTCTGTAGGTTAGATTTTTTTCTCTCAAATAGGACTATTTTGAAAGGTTACAAAAAAATTTTGTTTTGTTTTTTTGCATTTCTCAACTATTTGAAGATGTATTGTAAAAAAAAATTACATTCGCAATCTGCAGATAATTGTCTATAAGTTAACAATTTTTCCGTTTGAACAGTCACTTTAAAAAAAGTTTTGAAAATTTTTTGGCATTTTTCTGTTATTTAAAAATATATTGCAAAAAAAAACTTCAGATTAATAATCTCGGTCATAAATCTATAAGCTAAAAACGTTCTTAAAAAATTTTTGGGGAATTTTTGGAAATTTTTCTCCCGATTTTCTGGCTTAATTGAAGAGATATCACAAAAATAATCTCAAACTCGAAATATATGAAGAATTTTCAATAGGTTAGCTCTTCTTGTCTCAAATTTTGAACGTTTTTTTTTTGATTTTTCAAAATTTTGGAAATATTCACTCATTTGAAGATGTTCCATAAAAATATTTTACATTCATAATCTAAGGATAATTGTTAACAATTGTCAACTCTAATCTGAAAACTTTTTGATCACCCGTTAATAAATCCGACCTAAAATTCGACATCAATCCTTCTAAAAATTAGTAGTTGATTTGTTAATTTCGACTTTAATCCATATTTTAAACCTTAATGTTACAATGAGATAAACATACAGTCGTACTTTAAACTTGCAAAATGCATTCTAATAGGGTCTATTTGACCAAGGTTTAAATTTACGTTTTGTTCGAGCTTCGTTTCTATTGTTACGTTGAACGGGTGATTAAAATTGTCGTGGGTAAAACTCTGAATTCGATTGAATGAATCCCGTTCCCGTTCTAGACTCTCCTCTAGAAGTTTCGTGATCGAGGTCTTTCTGGAATCCATCGCAACTTCCGGTTTCAGACCTTTCTCTAGCGAGCGCCGATGTCACCGATGAGTCATGCTACACACTAGAAGAAACCCATACTTACTAGGAGACCCATAGGCGTAGTACCGGGGCGGCGTATGGGTTCATCCATATTAGAGTCTACTTTTATAAAAAATAATGTCAAAAAAATCTGTATGAGAACAAAATCTGTTAATTTTTTTGTTTGAAGAAAAAAAAAAGAATTTTAGACGTGTAATTGTTCTAAAAATGAGTAGTTGGTTTGTTAATTACGACTTTAATCCATATTTTAAACTTTAATGTTACAATGCGATAAACATACAGTGTTACTTTAAACTTGCAAAATGCATTCTAATAGGGTCTATTTGACTAAGGTTTAAATTTACGTTTTGTTCGAGCTTCGTTTCTATTGTTACTTTGAACGGGTGATTAAAATTGGCGTAGGTAAAACTCTGAATTCGATTGAATGAATCCCGTTCCCGTTCTAGACCCTCCTCTAGAAGTTTCGTGATCGAGGTCTTTCTGGAATCCATCGCAACTTGCGATTTCAGACCTTTCTCTAGCGAGCGCCGATGTCACCGATGAGTCGTGCTACACACTAGAAGAAACCCATACTTACTAGGAGACCCACAGGCGTAGTACCGGGGCGGCGTATGGGTTTATTCATATTGGAGTCTAGTTTTATAAAAAAAAGTCAAAAAAATCTGTATGAGAACAAAATATGTTAATTGTTTTGTTTGAAGAAAAAAAAAAAGAATTTTAGACGTGTAATTATTCTAAAAATGAGTAGTTGGTTTGTTAATTACCACTTTAATCCATATTTTAAACTTTAATGTTACAATGCGATAAACATACAGTGGTACTTTAAACTTGCAAAATGCATTCTAATAGGGTCTATTTGACCAAGGTTTAAATTTACGTTTTGTTCGAGCTTCGTTTCTATTGTTACGTTGAACGGGTGATTAAAATTGGCGTGGGTAAAACTCTGAATTCGATTGAATGAATCCCGTTCCCGACGGCGGCCTGTATTTAAAGCCAGACTCTCCTCTAAAGGTTTCGTGATCGAGGTCTTTCTGGAATCCATCGCGATTTCCGGTTTCAGACCCTTCTCTAGCGAGCGCCGATGTCACCGATGAGTCATGCTACACACTAGAAGAAACCCAGACTTACTAGGAGACCCACAGGCGTAGTGCCGGGGCGGCGTATGGGTTTATCCATATTAGAGTCTAGTTTTATAAAAAAAATGTCAAAAAAATCTGTATGACAACAAAATCTGTTAGTTTTTTTGTTTGAAGAAAAAAAAGAATTTTAGACGTGTAATTATTTTCCGGACGAGATATGCAAAGGTGTCGCTTTAGTATGAAAATCCAGCTGCTAAGTCACTTACTTTGAAACTTAATGCCTATTTAAAATTATCTATCACATATCTATATAACGAGTGATCAAACAGTTTCCAGATTAGAGTTGGCTATGGAATTATTTGTCATGTCTTTGATTACAGTGCAAATGTCAAAAATCCAAATTATTGAAATACAAATGAGGTTATGGCCGACATTACAGTTTAATCAAAGACATAACAAATATGGCCAACTCCAATCTGAAAACTTTTTGATCACCGGTTAGTAAATCTGACCTAAAATTCGACATCAATCCTTCTAAAAATGAGTAGTTGGTTTGTTAATTTCGACTTTAAACTTGCAAATGCATTCTAATAGGGTCTATTTGACCAAGGTTTAAATTTACGTTTTGTTCGAGCATCGTTTATATTGTTACGTTGAACGGGTGATTAAAATTGGCGTGGGTAAAACTCTGAATTCGATTGAATGAATCCCGTTCCCGACGGCGGCCTCTATTTAAAGCCGGACTCTCTTCTAGAAGTTTCGTGATCGAGGTCTTTCTGGAATCCATCGCGTCATGCTACACACTAGAAGTTGAAAAGTTGTTCAAAAACAGTTAATAATGAGCCAAAAATAAATTTGTATAAGAAGACTGAAATGTTATATGAATTAATAAAAAAAAACGATTTAGAAAAATATTTATTTATAATACAGTAACAGCCCTTAGATTTCGTGTCAAGCTCTAGCGTCCTTTCTTTAGCTTGTTTTCTTCCGACATTCCGTCCCTACTGTCTTCCGTAGACTTATTTTCTATAATAAAGCAATACTGAAGCTTCGATGTGCCTCTATTTTGAGTTTTGGTTTCTTCGTTCTGAAAAATCTCACACTAGATTTTAGTTACATGCTTACTCCAACAATCACCTTGGTAGTTGTTTTCTGGTACGTAGTTCTATAAAAATTCCAAAACAAACCCAATATCAAAATTGCGTGTATTATTACAATTAAAAGAAAGGATCTGGGGTAGTCGCAGTCAATGAAGAACAACTGACATGAGTGCACTGTAATAAGCACAAACTGGATCTGAAAAATATACAATTTTCGGTATTTTGACACTTTGCTTGATTTTGTTACCATTTGAACCGTAGTGAGATATTTTTTCCACCACAAATATTTTTGAAAACGCGGCCCCAAAGCGGCGATTACGTAGTAGAAGTACATTATGACGTGCACAAAACAGTTGATGTAGCCGAAAAAGGTTCCGTGGCCGCTGGGGGCCAATTTGACACCAAACCAAACGCTAAAGGGCATAATGCAGTGATGGATTAGGTGAAGGTTTGTGATTTGATTGTTTTTCTTCCGTAGAACGAAGAATATCTACAAATTTCAAAAATTTATAAAAAAAAAAAATTCAAAAATTAAAATATAGTTAACAGTGTCGGCTAAATCAATGTGCTTGATTATGAGGTACCACCAGGCTGCGTTTATCATCTGTAATCAAAAATTAAACCACCTGATATCACTGATTAACATGAAGTTTTACTCTGAGCTCCAAGGGGTCTTTCGAAAAAACTAAGGGTTGACACCTGTAATTGTAGTGGTTTAACCATCCACTCACGCTCATCTAAAACACATTGTTATTGTTTATGACAGTCCTACGATGGTTTTACTTACCTCATAGACTAGATATGCGTTGAATGTAACTTGGAATATGTTGTAAAAAATTAAAACTTTTTTCAGACTCAAAGGTTTCCGAGTTTTCATGAACTGCGGTCCGGCTGTTTTCACAAAATAAAGATACATTAGGCAGACACACAGTGTAGGAAATGGGGACTTCAATACCAACCAGTTTTTGACTCTAGGGTCTGAAAATTTCCAAAACATTATACAACTCTCGATTTTTAATATCAACGATTTACCGCCTTGGTTGTCGATCATTTCAAGGAATCCGTTTATCATTGTTTTTAGTATCGTTAGAGTAGAATAAGTTACGTTGTCTGGTAGGACGTCAATACTAAAGTGAATTTTGTTTAAAATTCATGAGTTTGTTAATTTTATGCGAATACACTAAATAATGCACAGACTAAATATACATATAATACACCCAATACACCAAAATTTGAATAAACTTGTCGTTGTATTGTAATAGGGCTTCCTGGTTCGTTAAATCTGATCCGAGTGGTCAATTTTTACGAATATGTAGCTACATTTCATATTTTTTCGCCGTTCCAGAGCATGCAGATTACGAAAATGCCGGTCCCCGATTTTGCAAAAGTAACTTGTGGAGGTCTAGATTTGTAAAAATGTATTCACCAAATGTTTGACAAACAAATATATATATATAACAAGCTATTCTACTACACCCAAATATGTTAATTCCGTTTCAAGTTTTCTTTAGTTTGTGTTCTTCACGCATTTCAGCATCTACCAGGTGAGTTTGTGGAAGAAAGCAAAACGGCAGATTCCGTTTACTCCACTGATCAACAGTCGCTTTAGCATTGTTCTTTAGATACGTAGTTTCGTAGAAATTGTAAAATAGCGACAGCAACAAAGTCGCATGTATTATTATAACCCAAAGAAACACTTTGGGATATTCGCAGTCAGTGAAGAACAACTGAGAAGAGTGAATTATCGCAAGCACAAACTGTGTCTGAAATGAATCCCTCTATAATTAGACATTTTCTCCACCTTACTTACTATCTGAATCCTAGTTAGATATCGTTTCCACCACAAAAAATTTTTAAACCGGGGCCCTAAAGCCGCGATTAAATAGTACGAGTACATTAAAACGTGAACAAAAGTGTTTAAGAAACCGAAAAATGTTCCATGGCCAGTGGGGGCGAATTTGACCCCAAACCAAACACTAAAGGCCATTAAACTATGATGAATTAGATGCAAACTTGTTATTTGGTTGTTTTTCTTTCGCAAGACGAAGAAAATCTAAAAACAGTCTGTAAAAAGAAAAATCTTGAAAAGTGGAGGAACTAACGGTATCGAGTAAATCGATATGTTTTAAGATATAGTACCACCAGACCGCTTTTACCATCTAGAAATAAAAAATACAATAAGCGACTGGTGTTTTTTTATGAATATTTACTCTGATCGTCAAGGGCTTTTCCGAGTAATCCATAGGTTGACACCGGAAGTTGTAGTGGTTCAGCCATCCAACCGCACTGCCCTAAAGCAACCCGAGTTTCTTTGGTGCATTGTGATAGTTTTACTTACCTCATAGAACAAATAAGAGTTAAATATAACTTGAAATAAATTATAAACAATTAAAATGCTTTTGAGATTGTACGGTTTTCGCGTTTTCATGAATTTCGGGCCTGCTATGGTCGCAAAATATAAATATAGTAGACAAATAGCCATTGTGGGCAACGGCGAACTCATTAGAAACCAGTTTTTGACTCTCGGATCTGAAAATTTTCAAATATATCTACAGCGTGGAAGCTGAGTGTCCAAAATTACCACTTTGGTTGTCTATGATTTCATGGTATTGGGTTATTACTGTTTTTATTACCTCCGTCATCTTCGCTTGAAATAATTGTTCGTGTTTTGGAATAGTGTTGCTTATACCACTAGGAACCGAATGGATACTAAAACAGAATTTGGATAGTGTTGCTGATATTGCCAACACTACACTGTAATTTTGCATTTTTATCTTCGCGTTGAAATTTTATTTCAAGTAAGTATATCGCTTCAACATGCATTCATACTTAGAATAAATGCGTTTTTTATCTTGGTATGCAAGGTATAAAATATGTTAAGGTATGCTTTGAACCTACTATTATTTTTATCGAAAATTTAAACCCATTTTTTTAAATAATAATATGTCCACTATTGCTCATCGACACAAAAGTCAAACTATGCAACATGAATAGGTTACAAGGTCTTTCAAGTACTGATAAGAATTATACACTTTTTTAATAATTAAAGTATAAGTTTCTTGGATAATGCTGGATTAAGAAATAGCTCATGTTGAGTAAAACCAGTGGCGTTTCCAGAATTCTTCCAGATATCTTGCGACTAAAGTTAATTTATTATTCACCTTTGGAGCTGCCTGGCCATCCTTGAACACAGTATCATTTGCACAACCTACGTTTCTGACTTAGTGAAGATAACTTTATTTAAGTGCAGTGAACAGTGAATATCCATTATAGGTTTGTTCGTTTTAAACTTCTAGAAAAATATACTTAAAGACACGAAAACAATTTCTTCCAGGGTCGATTTTGAACAACCCGTTTGCTGACAACTATGTAGGTTAGACAAATTTTGAAAACTATAATGCCGTTTATTTTACAAAAATTTACAATAAATATTTTTACACTAACTCCTAAATTAAATACGTCAGAAGCCAACATTCTTTCGCTGTTTGAAAATAACAGTCCCAAGAAAATGAGTCACAAAACTCGACAACATGTATCTATACAGATACCTATTTAAACAATCAAAAATGCGTCTTCACATGAAAGACAGTCCGTTATTTCAACTGCTTTTTGTACTTAATAACATTTCTTGTACAACTAGTGTGATGAAATAAATTGGTAATGCATAATCTACACAAAGTAAATTAGAAAATAATCCTACTCTTTACTACGCTCTGGGGTTATCAATGAACACTCGATTCCGTAGCCTATTCCCATCGGAAGTATACCCTTCCGACATATCTTTAACATCGTTAGTTTTTTCATACAACGCCGTCTGCGTGGTGAAGCAAATACCAATATTATTCGACTTAGGTTTCACTTCGTTTTGTTCCTTCTAAAACACAAACATTCAAACCTCATTCCCCAACTACTCAAACCCTACCTCAACTTTGACTTTCTTCTCTCGTTTGACGTAAGTCTTTTTGTAGAACTTGGAGAACAAGAAATAAAACATGACCGCGTGTAATCCGATCAACCACACAAACGCCTTGGGGTAGTTGCAGTCGATGAAGAGAAGCTGGAAGGCGTGGACCATCACCAACACGAACTGAATCTACAAATCTTTGGTTAGATCGACACTACCAATTTTGCAGTTTTACCATCTGGATAGTGGTGAGGTACTTCTTCCACCACAAGTACTTCTGGTACTGCGGTCCCAGCGCCGCCACCAAGTAGTACGTATACATGATGATGTGCACGAACGTGTTGAGGAAGCCGAAGAACGTGGAGTGACCGCCTGGGGTGAACTTGACTCCGAACCAAACCGACATTGGCATTACTCCATGGTGGATCACGTGGAGGGTGGAAATGTGGTCGTTTTTCTTTCGCAGGACAAAGAAAAACTGGAATGAGGAGTGACTTGAAATTTAGTTGTTGGGGGAATGTGGGGTACCAACCGTGTCAAAAAATTCGGCGAACTTGGAAATGAAGTACCACCAGCAGCCTTGCGCCATCTGGAAATTGATTGGTTAGTGGGGATAAGGCGGAAACGAGGCGACTTACCCTCATGGCGAGGGGGTTTCGTGAGTAGTCCACGGGTTGACATTTGAAACTGTAGTGGTTGAGCCATCCCGCCACGGCGCTCTAGACGAAGACACATTATTTACAGAGACTGAAGGTCAAGAAAATTTAAGTGGTTTACTCACCTCATGGAACAAATACAAGCTAAAAATTACTTGAACTAGATTGTAGAAAATTAAGATATATTTAAGATCGAACGGTTTTCGATTTTCCATTAATTTCGGTCCTAGTACTTTGACAATATAAGCATACGATAAGCACATACATAACGTGGGGAACGGCGAACTCATGAGGAACCAGTCGTTGACCCTAGGATCTGAAAATCGTCATTTTAAGTAATTACCTCACAACAAGGAGTGCAAATATTTACCACTTTTGTTGTCCATAAGATCATGATATCCGTCTATCACATTTCTGATTAGGTATGCCATTTTTATCTGAAACGAGAAACAATATTTGTGAAAAAACGCATTTTAAGTGGCTTGAATGTTGCAAACTGCCATGACAAGAAATTTGCATACTTGAAGGAGGAGTTAGCAACAAATTCAAATAAAGTATACTTTTTAGTAAAAACAAGATTTTGGGTTGAACTGGAGACTAGCCAGTTCACAGTCCGAATGAATCGCATTGTTGCAGTTTTGCAACGAATTTGTGTCTAATTTAATTATACCCTGGCGACCGAAACTGGTTTTGAAAGTCAGTTTTTTCACGATTGTCACAAAAACATGATGAATGATCAAAAGTCAAATTAACTGCACTCAAAATATATCATTTCATACTTTTACTGACTGAACGAAATTCTTATTTTGAATTATCAGCATCCATGCTAGTACGTCAGTTCATAATTGTCAGTTTGACACGATGGTAGCTGCATAAATGTCACTTTGACAATGAAGTGTGTCATCATAAAATTTTAATAGGTGGCAAACTTGACAAAAAATCACCAAGGTTAATAGTCACTCGGTATTTTGCTTGGAGACATTCCACGGCATTTCCAGCGCATATAAAACGAAACGAAAAATATAGAGTGTTTTTTTTTAACAGTGCTCAGGTGTTTTTTATAAACCTGTTCGAAATGAATCACGAAACCCACAAAAATTGTTAATATTAGTGGTTTACCTCTCTCTTAGAATTAATTAGCCCAAAGTTCAGGAAAACATGAATGAGTATTTGAAATGGCGACCCTCGATTAATTTAAATTTTTTGACTAAGTAGTTATGATCTACACAAAAAATTAATGTGGATATTTAATAGGCTCGAATCACGGAAATAAGGAAAACTTGTTTTCAAATATTTTGAATTGTGGATTTTTGTTTATGTTTACGAACTGTCAGTTTTGTGAACATGATTAACACAAAAAAAGTTGGCACACGCAATGGAGCTGAAAAAAGTAGACATTCCCACGGAAGATATCAGCGTATCCTTGGGTACTTCAAGGACTTTCTAGTCTTGAACGTGGCCTTGGTTTTTACATTTTATTTATTATTAGATATGTGGAACCTTGACTAAGTTTTTCTTAGTTGCTGCATTTTTGCATTGACGTAATTATTTATTCCAAATTAACGACTTCTCGCAATTTTAATTCGAGTTTGATTCTAAAAAAAACTGCATCTATTTGTTGCATTTGCAGGCCCGTTACTGTCGTTACGGTGTCTATAAGGACAGACGGAAGCATAAAAATAAACTATTTCTTTGTTGTTAACAATTTTTATTCAAGTCATCAGTGAGCGATTTATTGCTATTTGATGCATAAATAACGATGAGACTGCAAATGCTTTTATTTAAATAAGCGTAAATGACATCATTTCTGATCACCAGTAAAATGAAAATCGCGATTATTATGTCAAAGGATTTTATTATCACCGAGTTTGTAAAACCCCTGGAGCGTGTTTTCGTGTTGTTCGCTTCTTAGAGGTGAACTTTCCAGTGACACTCAGATAAATAAAATTTTCCACAAACCCTCGACGCGTTTCACCAGACGAAATTAGGTGACCGTGTTCCAAACAGACAAACAGAATTCCTCGGATACAAACAAGAAAATGTATTAAACTAATGGTTAAAATTAATTTTCATTAAAGGAAAACACATTCGCAAATAAAAATTTGGTCTGCAGAGCCATCTACCCTAAGTGATACGAAATAATTTGACTTAACAAATTTTATTTTTTACCTCAACTTTTGACACTAACAAGCGTACTGTTCAGCATCTGAGGAAAGCTAGTTAAACCGTTATTGTTTCATTCATTAATTTTGACATGTCTGTAAAAACAACTGTAAAAAATATGAATACATTATTGACCCACAAAAAAGAGGTCTGTGAATAATTCAAACGAGATTTATTGAAGAAATTTTGAAATGATGTCATCATTTTTTCGGGACGAAGCCTAAAATCTAGAACGGACTAATGACCCACTGTTGTCCCCCAAACAAAAAAGTACATCCACTATGTAGATACGCCCAAAAAAAGAAGCACCTCCTTTTCTTTCAAAAACCAGTTTATTGACGTCAGAAGCAATACAGCAACAAAGGATTGATCCTTATGGATGGAATTTTTGCTCGATAGTGTAAAACGATTTTCCTTAATAAAAAAACATCCTTTCCAGTCCTATAAAAATAACCCAACATCCTAAATTGTTTATTTATTTAAATCTCTTTGTAAACACAACTGTGTAGTAACAGCCATCAGATTAATGCTTCGCGCATTCGATTTTCACTTTCGTCGGTTTTAGCAATAGTTCTTGCTGTCACAGCACCGATAAAATTTTCCGTCGTTAATTAGTAAATATAATCGGCCTAACTTTAAATATTTTTGAATCGAATTTTCAAAGGTCACATGACAGAAACACTTGCCAAGCAAAACAAACACACCGTTCAATGGTATGTTTTGCATCGAATCAGCTCGATTTTTTCAAAATTCACTGCACATTACCTCGGTTACTTCACCGCATTGGCATTTACCAGTATTTGCTTACTGGAATGAAAGTTTTTAGCATCCAACGAATTTCCAACTTTTGTTAATCGGAAAAATCCGGTTATTGAAATTAAAAAAGAGTTATATAATGCAATTACTGTAATGTGGGCCACTGGGGCAGTTCACGCCGTCGAAGGAACGAAATGGAAAGTGCTACACCATAAAGGTTTCGTCTTTCGTAGAGATTGCATCCGCTGGTGTCCTAACCATAATTTTGCAACCACACAAGAAAACGGCAATAAACCGATTCGTTTATGATGCATAAAGTGTTGCAACACACGAGTATAAATCTGCTGTGTAGCAAGTTGTATTGAAAAATTAAGTACGTGTAAATTTCAACATTAGAAAGTCTACTTTTCAGGTTAAAGATTGATCGATAGGAAATGTTTGTGTACTTGTGTCGCAATTGTTTTATGACGGGTCGCACTTTTTCGGAAAATTTTAATTTTTTTGGTTTAGGAATGTCCACTCACCTGGCTATTATTATTATTGTTTAATTATCACAGATCACAATCACTCAGCGTTGTTGTTGTAATTAATCTCCAATTCCGCTGGTTAACTGGATTCGATTATCAATAGGGTTACGACTGCAACGAACTTGAACAAAGTTTTCAAGCGGCAGCGTGAGCATACTTTTATAACACATCCCCACCTGCTCAGAAACTTGACCATCTTACGTGTGTTTTGAGTGGAGCTGTAGGATTTCGCTTTTTTGATAATTCGATAGTGATAACTTTAGGTATTCAGGTTTTCTGAGTGACAAAAAAATGATCGAAAAATGTTTCTGTAAATTTCCACTGAGTGTCCCTATTAGGTGTCACAATTAAAAAAAGTGTTTTTTAATCTTTGGAAATACAAGTGACAAAAAATAACACTGTTAGGAGTCGTTGCAGAAATATTGCTTAAAAATTAAAAAATGCCAGTAACTAGAATCTCATTAACGAATTCACAGATTTTATAGCTCTGGTGTCATTAAAGATTAGAACACATCGAGCTTTCAGGCGATAAATATTAGGTACAATTTTAAAACGAAAAATGTGATAAAAATAAAGTTTCATGAAAGGTTTGTCCTAAAAATGCTCAACTGTGCACCATTTTTTCATCATCATACTAGAAATAACCGCATTAAAAATCAAGGTAAACAATGTTTTTTCGATGGCGTTTCCGTAAAAGTTGAATTACAAACTATAAAATACTTTTTTTAATTTAGTTCGCGTCGTAGATAAAATTTTGTGTATTACACGTGCCTTAATGCATTATTGTCATATTTCAGTCGTTTATGACGTGAATACGGGGTGTACTATGAACAGAAATAATGACTCCTTGATAAAGCCTGCAATGATAAAGACATATTTTTCTATATTTAATTGCGCATTTTTAAGTAGGTACTATCGATGCATTTACGGAAAGTGATATCCTTGTAATAGTTTTGAAGGAAATTTCATTTTTTATGTTAAATCGATTCGCACTTGGTACTAACTTTAGTCTTGTCTGTAGAAATTACCAATGGATATGTGTGTATCCTTCACAGGACCCGAGAAAGGCGCGATTTAATCCTACGTAAATAATTCTCACTTCTGCTCTGTATTGAGAAAATGTTTACAGAAAAAAAAAATGCTTCAGGTATCGAATTCCGTTTAAATTAAGAATTAAGGAAGGAAAATTTTGTCACTGAGTAATCTAAATTCGATGAAAATCTCTTTCCTTAATTAATTAGCACTTAACACAACGATTATTTATCTTTACTGTAATCTCCATTATTTAAATTTGGCGGAAAGTCGCATTCATCTGACCAAGAAGTGAACTTTTTTAAGACGTGCTACTTATAATTAAACAAACAAACCATTACGCACTAATTTGGTATTTTGAAAATTTTTTGCTAAAAAAAAGGTGGAAATTTTATTTTTCTTTAAAATCTCGGGGATCCTTTTTCTTCTTTTTGACGTAATTTGAAATAATTTCGGGATCTTCCTGTGTATTGTTTATGAAGCAAATTATTAGAATCTCGGGGACCCCTTGTGTTTTGTTTTTGAAGTAGTTTGAAAGAATCTCGGAGACCCCTTGTGTTTTGTTTTTGAAGTAGGTAGAAAGAATCTCGGGAATTCTTTGTCTTGTTTTTGAAGTAATTTGAAATAATCTCGAGGATTTTTGTGTGTATTATTTATGAAATAATTAATTAGAATTACGGGGACCCCTTATATTTAGGTTTTGAAGTAGGTACAAAGAATCTCGGGGATTCTTTGTCTTGTTTTTGAAGTAATTTGAAGGAATCTCGAGGATTTTTCTGTGTACTATTTATGAAGAAATTTATTAGAATCTCTGGGACCCCTTGTCTTTTGTTTTTGAAGTAGTTTTGAAAGAATCTCGGAAATTTTTCTGTATATTGTTTATAAAGCAATTTATTAGAATCTTGGGGACCCCTAGTGTTTTGATTTTCAAGTAGGTACAAAGAATCACGGGGACCACTTGTGTTTTGTTTTTCAAGTAACTTTGAAAGAATCTCGGGGACCAATTGTGTTTTGTTTTTGAAGTAGTTTGAAAGAATCTCGAGGATCCTTATGGGTGTTGTTTTTGAAGTAGTCTGAAAGAATCTCGGAGGTCCCTTGTGTTTTGTTTTTGAAGTAGTTTGAAAGAATCTCGGGAATCCCTTGTGTTTAGTTTTTGAAGTAGGTACAAAGAATCTCGGGAATTCTTTGTCTTGTTTTTGAAGTAATTTGAAAGAATCTCGAGGACTTTTCTGTGTATTGTTTATGAAGTAATTAATTAGAAATTCGAGGACTATTTGTGTTTTGTTTTTAAAGCAGTTACAAAGAATCTCGATGATTCTTCGTCTAGTTTTTGAAATAATTTGAAAGAATCTTGAGGATTTTTGTGTGTATTATTTATGAAATAATTAATTAGAATCTCGGGGACCCCTTATATTTAGGTTTTGAAGTAGGTACAAAGAATCTCGGGGATTCTTTGTCTTGTTTTTGAAGTAATTTGAGGGAATCTCGAGGATTTTTCTGTGTATTATTTATGCAGAAATTTATTAGAATCTCTGGGACCTTCTTGTCTTTTGTTTTTGAAGTAGTTTTGAAAGAATCTCGGGAATTTTTCTGTATATTGTTACAAAGCAATTTATTAGAATCTTGGGGACCCCTAGTGTTTTGATTTTCAAGTAGGTACAAAGAATCACGGGGACCACTTGTGTTTTGTTTTTGAAGTAACTTTGAAAGAATCTCGGAGACCACTTATGTTTTGTTTTTGAAGTAGGTGGAAAGGATCTCGGGAACCACTTGTGTCTGGTTTTCGAAGTAGTTTGAAAGAATCTCGGGGACGCCTTGTGTTTTGTTTTTGAAGTAGTTTTGAAAGAATCTCGGGGGTCCCTTGTGTTTTGTTTTTGAAGTAATTTGAAAGAATGTCGGGTGTTTTTCTGTGTATTGTTTATGAACCAATTTATTAAAATCTCAGGGACCCCTTGTGTTGTTCTGTTTTTGAAGTAGTTTTAAAAAAATCTCGGGGGTCCCTTGTGTTTTGTTTTTGAAGTGGGTACAAAGAATTTCGAGGTTCCTTTGTCTTGGTTTTGAAGTAATTGGAAATAATCTCGGGGATTTTTCTGTGTATTGTTTATGAAGCAATTTATTAGAATCTTGGGGACCCTAGTGTTTTGATTTTCAAGCAGCTACAAAGAATCACGGGGACCACTTGTGTTTTGTTTTTAAAGTAATTTTGAAAGAATCTCGGAGACCACTTGTGTCTGGTTTTTGAAGTAGTTTGAAAGAATCTCGGGGGCCTCTTGTGTTTTGTTTTTGAAGTAAGTAGAAAGAATCTCGGGGACCCTTTCTGTTTGGTTTTTGAAGTACTTTGAAAAAATCTCGTGAAGCCCTTCTGCTTGATTTTTGAAGTAGTTGGAAAGAATTTCAGGGACCCTTTGTCTTGTTTTTGTAGTAATTGGAAAGAATCTCGGGGATTTTTCTGTGTATTGTTTATGAAGCAATTTATTAGAATCTTGAGGACCTCTAGTGTTTTGATTTTCAAGTAGGTACAAAGAATCACGGGTACCACTTTTGTTTTGTTTTTGAAGTAATTTAAAAATAATCTCGGGAACCACTTGTGTCTAGTTTTTGAAGTAGTTTGAAAGAATCTGGTGGCTCCTTGTGTTTTGTTTTTGAAGTAGGTAGAAAGAATCTCGGGGACAACTTGTGTCTGGTTTTTAAAGTAGTTTGAAGGAATCTTGGGTACCCCTTGTGTTTTTGAAGTAATTTGAAAGAATCTCGGGGATTTTTCTGCGTATAGTTTATGAAGAAAATTATTAGAATCTTGGGGACCCCTAGTGTTTTGATTTTCAAGCAGGTACAAAGAATCACGGGGAACACTTGTGTTTTGTTTCTGAAGTAATTTTGAAAGAATCTCGGGGACCACTTGTGTCTGGTTTTTGTAGTAGTTTGAAAGAATCTCGGGGGTCCCTTGTGCCTGGTTTTTGAAGTAGTTGAAAAGAATCTCGAGGACACCTTGTGTTTTGTTTTTGAAGTAGTTTGAAAGAATCTCGGGGATTTTTTGCTGAATATTGTTTATGAAGCAATTTATTAGCATCTCGAGGACCCATTGTGTTTTATTTTTGAAGTAGTTTTGAAAGAAACTCGGAGACCCCTGTATCTGGTTTTTGAAGTGGTTTGAAAGAATCTCGGGGACCCTTTGTGTGTGGTTTTTGAAGTAGTTTGAAAGAATCTCGTGAAGCCCTTCTGCTTGGTTTTTGAAGTAGTTGGAAAGAACTTCAGGGATCCTTTGTGTTTTGTTTTTGAAGTAGGTAGAAAGAATCTCGGCGACCACTTGTATTTGGTATTTGAAGTATTTTGAAAGAATCTCGGGGATTTTTCTGTGTATTAATTATGAAGCAATTTATTAGAACTTCGTGGACCACTTGTGTTTTGTTTTTGCAGTAGTTTTGAAAGAATCTCGGGGACCTTTTGTGTCCCGTTTTTGAAGTAGTTTGAGAGAATCTCGGGGGTCCCTTGTGTTTTGTTTTTGAAGTAGGTAGAAAGAATCTGGAGGACCTTTTGTGTCTGGTTTTTGAAGTAGTTTGAAAGAATCTCGTTAACCCCTTGTGCCTTGTTTTTTAAGTAGTGTGAAAAAATCTCGGGGACCCATTATGTTTTGTTTTTGAAGTAGGTAGAAAGAATTTCGGGAATCCCTTTTGTTTTGTTTTGTTTTTGAAGTAGGTTGAAAGAATCTTGGGGATTTTTCTGTGTATTGTTTATGAAGCAACTTATTGGAATCTCGGGGACCATTGTGTCTGGTTTTTGAAGTAGTTTGAAAGAATCTTTGGAATCCTTTGAAGGAATTTGAAAGGATCTCGGAATCCCGTACGCAAGAGTGGATGGAACCTGCTAGACCAACACGGGAAAAAATTAGACCGGCGCCTGAAAAGCCTAAATTTTCCTTCATTTAAAATATATAAAACTTGGATTCGGGCATCGCAGCTTCCCCTGGATTGTTATATAATGTTGCAACGCGTGAGTTAATTATTTAAAATTTAATTTAAAAAAGCGCATAACCGTCGTGATTAAATTACAATTGTAGTTGACCTATAACCATTCATCATGGGAAATCTTCCA